GGGAACCAAAATTCATTTGCATAAAAAAGTAAACAATGTCTAAGGAATGGTACTTAAGGATGGCCCCCCTGAGTATTACACACCTTATATTACAAACATTCATATATGTGCACCCACATTAACACACATGCATGCAAACACACACACACACACGCACACACACACACACACACACACTCACCACAAAGACACAGCACAGTATAAGATCACCCACTAGCACAGCACGAAGGGCAACCAGCCTCTCAGACTCCTGAGTCCCCCAGGCAGTTATATCCAGGAGACCTGCTCCAGGAGACAGGCAGGCTGTGGTCAGAACAGGAAACTGGATAGCAGGGAGGGGCTGCTCCTGCCTTGTCTATGTGGAGGATATGCCTGGAAACTGGCACTTTGGAGGATCTGAAATGTCCTAGGGTCTCTTCTATCAACATTCCTAAGTCAGTCCTTTAGCCTAAGCCCCAGATTCCTTCATTAAATGCAGACTCACTCAATGCTTCCAGTTCTCCTGGTCCATCAGTGAGCCTGTGAGACCTCAGACACAACATACAGGCAGGAGCATCACATGACTACACTGGTGACACAGGGGGATGATGAACACCATGCATGCCAATGGGCAGCCCTGTCTCATGATCCCCATCCCAGCACATCCCTGGACCCCGACATCCCCCAGTGTGAAGGAGTACCACTCCAACCCCAGGACAGCTCAACTAGGAGTGAGGGGAACCAAGGTATATAACAAGTGTCCAGGCATTACCTTTTGTCTAAAGCCAACCTCACTCATTTTTTTTTATAGTTCACTTACCCACAGTAAATTCTGCCACCTGAGTCACACAGACTCCATTAGAGTAGGGGCAGGTTGCTTTTGATGTGCATGAAGCCTCAAATGGGACCTCTGGGCAATTGTAGCACTGCAGCCCCTGAGCTGAGAAAGAAGCAAATACATGACAGCTAGGACGTGCCCTCCCTAGCCCAGACCCCTCCTCTACAATCTCTCTATTTCCCTAAAGATGCTGGTCACTAGAGCAGAGCAAGGACATTACTGCCCAGTCACATCCACCAAAAGCAAGAGTGAACCATGAGCCACGGTTGTTCAATATGTTGTTCAATATGGTCCTGCTGTCTCACCTAGTCATCCCACATGAGAAACCTGCACCCCAAGACAAATTAGGGAGACAGTCACCACACTGGGAAGACAGAGATACCAAATGTCTGCTGAAGCACTGAGTGGGTGTGTATGTATGTACTGGGGTCACCAGATGGGGAGGGTTTTTCTGACCTGTCCCACCATAACCTTGCAGAACTGGGCCTTGGTTCTCTGAGCATGACAGAGCACTGAACTTCCCAGAGTCCAGCTTAAAGCTGAGGCTCACTTGAGTCCTCCGACAATACAGATGTAACTAGAAGCATAGGCGTATCTGAGAGTACGAAAGAGAGTACGCAAGTTCTAGAGTAGGAAAGTTCTAGCATTGGGGCCTCATGTGGCATGTGCTGGGGCATAAGAAAAAGTCAAATGCAAAGCATTAAGGATTTCAAACCCCTCGACTTGTCAGCTGGGCCAGAAAAAGAAGCCTCTGCAAGTTTGTATGCTCACAGTCCAGTGTCCTGACTGGGAGTCTCGGGCAGCATGGTAGTCTAAGAACAGGGTGTTCTCATGGCCAGGGGTTTTGGGAGAGGTAGTAAAGTCCAACAGTTCTTCTGGCAGTTTTGCAGACGCAGTAAGCAAGCACTCCAGCACAAGAAGCTTCACCTACTACGTGTCTGTCCCAATCCCCTGACCCCTCGGTCACTGGTACACCTCGGGCACTGAGCACACAATGGAGGTGCAGGTCTCCCCCCAACAAAGAAGGCCTGTTCCATCTCCATTGTACCCTCCTGCCCCACTCTCACTTTTCATCTTACCTCTTTGTGCACACAGTAGGGCCAGAAGCAGGAAGAGCACACAAGACTTTGTAGCATGAGAGTGGTTCATTCTCGGAGAAGGTGTGCACAGATAAAACCTAAGAAGTTGAAGCCAGTTAATAGACCCCAATCACATCCCTGGGCTCTCATACCACTCAGGCATCGAATCTTTATGCCTCTCTCTCTCTCTCTTTC